TCAGGAAGGTCCCCACTCCTGTTTCCAGCATCCAGGAGAGGCTGAGAGCAGCAGCACTGATGGTGACCCTGATGTGCCATATGCTCTGCACTTTCTCAGGGCCATTGGCAAGCCTGTGTCCTCAAGTGAGCAATTAGTCACATCTATTTTTTCCTAGTCCCTGATAAACCCACAGCACAAGAATTACTGACCTAAACCGAGCTCCTGATCCACTCACCCCAGCTGGCAGCTAGATGCCAGCTTTTTGCCAGATGCTGTAGTACATGAAGAACACATACTGAACCTAAGAAAGCAGATTTGGAAAAATACAAAAGAAGAATAATCAAGAACATATGTAGTTGAACAACACAGTCCAAGTATATTAACAGCATAAAAAGCAAGTGAGTCAATCACCCAGTTTTCAGATTTTTTTATAGCACAAACAATAATTAAGTTCCAAATATCTACTATTTGAGGTGATTGAGAAATTATTAAGCCCACTCAGATTTACACTGAACTCAACCAGGCTTTTGTCCGTTCAAGGGTCTGTTCTTGAGAATTAGGATTTCAAGACTAAATCATCTAGATTTTCTGAAATTCATATTGAAATCTTTCCAGATTCCTCATGTAATAATATTCACAATATTTTTAGAAGAAAAAAAAAGTACTTGGGGCAGCAGTGTTGTGTTTGTCAATACACAATTACACAATTAGAGATTTGAAGAGCTACAGTCTGGTGGGGACCATTACAACATTTTGACTGTCCTGTCATAAATCTCAGCTTATTACATTTTATCTGATTTTCACTGTATTCAACCTAACAGCTTCCATTTCACTCAATTGCACCGGGTAGCTGGTACCTATGTGCTTATATGGACCTGTACAAGTGATTAATAAAGTTTATCACTGTAGTGAGAGTTAAGGTTGGAAAAAAAGAGAATTCCATCTAATGACCTGAGGAAATATTTTCCAAGACAGCAACTCACTTTAAAACTGTACAGTGTTTCTTCCTAGAAATCAATGTTATGGATGAAAAATTCAGTCTTAATTTAAATCTGAGGCCTAACTAAAAAAAAATTATAGTATCAAGCTAGTTAAATACAGAAGTGTTTGTTCCCAAGGGGCCTGAACATCCACAATAATAAGACTACCTTGTTCTTCCAGTCTTCTCTCAGTCTGTGGCTGTCAGGTATCATCGGGATAAGTTTGATTTAGTCAGGAACAGCATGATGGTTAGAAAAAGAGTAGAAGGAAGAACTCAGTCAGACAGAGGCTAAGAAAATAATTTTGGCATTCATAGAAGTGCCACTTGTTCATCCTCTTTTGCTAGACTGAGCTTGTAGTACTCCTACCAGAAGGAGACAAGAATAATCCAGCATCCTGGTCACTGCTAAGTCAGCCACAGTCCCACAGTGCTGCTGGAACTGAAGTAAAAATGAGTCCTCAAACATTAATTTGTGCAAGAACTCATCTGAACTGTGCAATTGTCCAAGACTTCTAGTCTGGGCTGATCCCTAAAATGAGCATTAACTGGAAGCATAACTTGCGTCAGCCTCAGAAATAATGTTGAAGGAGGAACCTGTTTTACTTCAGCCCTTCAAGCATCTCTTGTCACAGCATTCAATCCATTTGTCAGACTCTTCAAATATATCCCTGTATAGGCCTCTACTTCGGCATTAGTCCTATCTCGCATCCTAACCCCCAAAACAAAAATACAAACTGCTGATATAAAGATGTACCTGTCATCAATAAGGGTGTGGATATTTCAAATTATATTTTTCCTTTAACCCCTTGCTCCCCAGACATATCCTTAAGATCCAATTAAATAAAAGATCACAAGGCTCTAATGTCAAATGTCACTGTGGGCTTATAGCTTCTCACTGCTCCACAGACTTAAGTTATGAATAGCTGCCTGGAGTGGTCCAGATTCATTCCAAGCCAAAGAAGGAGACAGAAATTAAAGAATATGGACAAGCAGAGATTTACTATTTGATTTTTCTCTCTTGTTTTCTTTTATTTTCTCTTTTTTTCATCCTTTCCTTTATGTAGAGCAATAGCTTAAAGCTATAGCCCATGTTTGAAATTTATATTGAAATATAAACTTGACTCTAACCTAAATTGAACCCCAGCTTTGAAAGCATCATCAATATAACATACCATATGAAAGAAGGAACTCGACATAACAAAAAGCTCACCTTTGGCAGCCAGGAATTATCCACATTCCCCAGTCTTTTCCCTCTTCCTTAACAATGACTAATAGATAGATAGATAGATAGATATAGATATAGATATAGATATAGATATAGATATAGATATAGATATAGATATAGATATAGATATAGATATAGATATAGATATAGATATAGATATAGATATAGATATAGATATAGATATAGATATAGATATAGATATAGATATAGATAGATATATAGCTATAGATGTTATAGAGATATATATAGATTAGATATAGATATAGATATAGATATAGATATAGATATAGATATATAGATAAAGATGTATATGTATATATAAAGACTAAATCTATGAATAAGCATAAGGTTCAGAAAATAGAAGCTGATTAGCTAAAAGCTATCTTTCTACAGATACAAAGTGTTTAAGCCAAGAACAGATTTTTTTGTTTGCATCTCCTAGAGCTATTCATTTTGGAGTTGAAGGCACTTTCCTTGAGGAAAGGCTGTTCTTAAACTGAAACTGTGGTTCTTGTTCAGTTATAGGTGGTACACTTTTCTGCCACATAGCTGAGATTTCACTTCAAGGTTTAATTCAGGATGCCGCATGCCATCAGAAGAAGCAGCAAGTAGGCTGGAGCCACCACCCATTCTCACAAGAGATCTCCAGCAATTATATATTTACTGAACTCTGCTTCAGCACAGTCCCTGAACACATACTGGGGCTTAACACTAGACTTTTCCAACCTTCTAGTTGCCAAAATAAAGTGGATTCATATAAAGAGGCACCTGTCCTTAACTCAAAATGTAGTCTACTGCTACCAAAAAACCCGAAACAAAACAAACAAACAACCCAACAAACAAACAAAAAAAGAAAATAAAAAGAAAACCCAAAAAATCTTTTCACTGTTTTATGCAGTAACCCTAATCTTAACCTGTTCCTGAAGTAAACTACCAAAATCCAGCCACCAAGACCTGTGCTCTAAAAAGGCCTAGTACTGGTTGTGGCACCGAGGATTTAATCTGATCACATTGCTCACAAAGTACTAAATCATAAATGTTTTATACAAGGCATTCTGAACATGAGGAAGAAAATAAGAGTCCACACTTACAAATTCTCTTTGTAATTTTTTTTTCATTTAGAAGAAACTGCTAACTTATTGCTGTAATCTGTAACTGTGTGTGCATGTGTGTATGTATGTATGTGTCTTTGTGTGTATGAAAACTGTTTTCTCTATCAGAGGTAGTTCCTATTTTCACCACTTTGCACTGGAAAGGCTATAAACTACAGAATTCTAAAATCAGGTGCAGGCAAAGTAACACCTCTGCTTGAAACCAATTTCCTATCATCTGTCCATTTCTCACAGTTAGCAACAAGTGCTTTACACCTCACTCCAAATAACTGGCATTACTCTTTCCAGCCTAAAAGTACTGTGAAATATTAGATGTAAATTTGCAAAAGTGCTTTGGTGCTACATGCCAAGCAATTCCAGTTTCAGTGGGATTTCTGGGTATGCACTGGCAGCATATAAACAACTTAATGCAGTCCTTAGGTGAGGCTGTGCATGGAGGCGTTTGTCTAACTGTTAGAGTGAGACACCAGCCACATTTTCCCATACCTCCATGCACTTGTGTCTTTATGGGGAAGGAGAAAATGTCCATCTTGGAATAAACCTCTGTGACTTGCAGCCAAGTGTAAAGCTAACAAGCACTGCTGTCAGATCTATGGAGAACTCCATGCCTTCTCCACACAGCTGCTGTGGGGTTGGTGCTTAAAATAGCAAAGCAGGCATGGGTCTGTTTCAGAAAGAAGTCTTCTTGGCACTTTCTGGATCCTAGGTCTGGCATATAAAGAAGAGAGCGTGTGAAGATTTTTGTTTATTGTGTTAAGGTTACAAGCATCAGCTGCTTAAAGCTAATTAGTTTCTGAAAACTTTAAATCTAACATAGAAGACAAGGATCCTGTTCATATGCTGTTGAAAGATATACTGTAAATCCATTTTATCACATAGCTATTGCCATGTAAATTATGATAAATTTGTGTCTGTGTATAGACAAATATATCTGATTCATGGCAAAACCTTTTTTATTGCCATGAATTTCTGTTCAATTGCTTGTTTTTCACTTGTTAATGAACATCAAAAGATTAAATTATTTTGCAGAGGAGCTCTATTGGAAGTTAAGCAATCTTTTTTTGTTTTAATCCAAAGCAATCTTTTTTTGTTTTAATCCAAAACACTCAAACACTATATTTCTACATACAACTTACAGCCATGTTTTGAAAATGTAGCAAGGCAAACACAGTTTATACCTATAGAGTATGGCAGAAATCCAATATTCATCTGCTGTTCATATTGCAAGAAAATGAGATCATTAAGGTCAGAAAGAACAGCTGCTTTAATTATAACACCCCAATACATCATATCAAAATTTTCATCATCTCACACAAATTCTAAGAACATACCCTGAGGATTCATTTCTATCATCCTGCTTTTTCTTGGGAAGGAGATTACATAAGTACACTCCAAAGCACTGGCTGCTTCGAGAAGCTGTGTAAAATAATTTTACCCCAAGCTCGATAGTGTTATGGCAACTAGTATTAATCTAACTTTTAAAGTCTTTATTCCTCTTTCTATGGTGGCAGCAGTAGGGGAAGATATTTTGACAGCTGGGAAGCTGCCCTGCAAGCTTCACAGTGCTGCTGCCACACATCCCCCCAGACTCCTGCTGAGGAGTGCTCAGTATCCACACCTACAGCTGGCAGTGCTGGTGTGCCTGAGGAACCCAAAGGTATCCCTTCTTTAAGGGCATGGCTGCTTTGTGTTTTAACAGATGCTATGCTTCTGGTAGCGGAGAGATTAGAGGGACCATTCAACATTGAATCAGTCATGGATCCTATTGATGTCAAGATTTCTGAAGCCATCATGAACATGCAAGAGAACAGCATGCAGGTGTCAGCAAAGGTACTGTGTCAGTCGTGCCTTCTCTGAATGTTGTTGAATGTCACAAGTGGGGGGAAAAACATCTCCACCAATTTTTCTGTCTAGACTTTAAGAAAGATTGTCCAGACCACCAGAAATGACTTTTGCTTGTTCAACAATTCACCAGACTGGCTTTGAATTCCTCATTAAACTAGTTAAACAAGCTTGAATTTTTCCAAGGAAAGGGAAAGGAAAGTGGAAGGGAGAAAGCTACCATTCATTAAACTTCAAAGTAAAAGCTGTAAGAGATTTAAGGAAAATAGAGTGTTCTGAAAACCAGTGGTAACTCTGTAAGCATTATCCTGCAGAGAATACTTGGCAACTTCCACTCGTGTCTCATCTGTGATTCTCCATATTAACTTCCAAACACATTTTGATTTATCTAGGTCAGACTGAGCACAATGTGTTTGAGGTGAATACACAAAATGTTTCATTTGACCTCCTTTAATAGCCACTCTAGGGAAATGCTACATTGGCCAATCTCTGATTACCAGACCTCAGTTTGATAGAGTTTTGTCTGGATTCTGACACAAAGATAAACTGAGCTAATGATACTGGCTGCCTCCTTTCCATTTTTAATGTGTGTGTGTATACAGAGGTCACCACCACCTCCGAACCCCCTGTTAATAAGATCCTTCAAATTCAGTAGCAGGTGCTGTTGAGCCAATAGTCAACAATTAATGGCTTTGCCTTAATATTCATCAGTGCACTGTGGCTGAAATTCTAAAGTCAAGTTTGCCAAGCTATCTGCATTAGGAGCTTCTATCTCCCATTTAACTCCCAGTCGTCAGTCAGGTGCTGGCCAGACTGCCATCTAAGTCAGTGATTTTCCATTGCCTGGAAGGAAGCTGCTGTAGCTGGGAAAAAAAAAAGTGGGGACAAAAAGCAGGAGACTGAGGTTTACTTTCTTCCTGTCAACCCAAAATTAGATGCTTTTTATGGCCCCAGTGCTGCAGGTTGCTAAGAATTTCCTTCAATATGCCTTTTGCTTTCAACCTACATGACGTTTCTTGGATTTTAAAAGCAGTCTACATCCTGCAGGATGAGACTTTATTCTGGCACCAGTCATCAAGGTGTTTAATAGCCAAATATTTTGGGAATTAAAGGTTAGCTTCAGCAAACTCAGCCCTTACCTCAAAAAAGAAACAAAAAATATTTTCACTTAAAACTCACCCCGGGCCCAGGTGTATTTTGTTTTCCTTTTAACTTTTTACTTTTTACTGTTTGGTTTTCACAGTTTTTCCATTTGCTGGAAAGCTGCATCCCCTGCCAGAGTCCAATGATGTTTTGGCATGAGCTCATTTCAGTACTTGCTCACAGCAGAGCAGAGTGTTTCTCCTGTCCCTCACAAGTATTTTATTTGCTGTAAAGATTAATAACAATGCCATTTGCAATGCAATAGTTTTACCTCTAAAAGAAACTTTACATAATATTATTTTTAATCTTGTAGAACAGAAAAGAAATTATATCAGCAAAATTTATTTCATTCTTATTTCACAGATAACAGAGCTGTCTATCCTTGATGGAACTTCGTATATTCTCTGCAAACCATTATTCTCATGAAATGTGATTTCCTTGATCTCCTAGGTTATAGCCATCTTTTTTCATGTAACATGGAAATGCTTTACCTTTTTATAAAAAAAGGCAAAGGCTTTGGGTATAGTGCTGTCCTCTTCTGTGCCAGGTCAGACTTGCAGAGGTGATATACAAGCAGACTTTGATCCATCCTCTGTCATCTAATTTTGCCTCCTTATACATATTGACCACTTAGAGCTTCAGTGGAAATGACAGAAACCTCACCAGATGTAGTGGGGTGCATGGAATGCAACTGCAGACCTAATGTGGGAGAAAAGCCGCTCTCATCAATTGATCTGAGATGCCACTCAGAAAGCTTCAAGCAGGGTGTTGGAATCATGATCTTTTCTGTTTTCTCATTTTTCAGACCATTTTGTACCTTTTATTCGACTGTACCTATTGAAAAATGTGGTGACTAGGAATCATAGGGATTTTTCCACAAGTCACTCAGTGCCTTTTTACAGTGGAAAAATGGTGATGCACTAATAATGTTATGCCTAAAACACCCACATGCACATAGATTGTTTTTCACCGCTGATATGCAGCCTTTTCTATCTAAAAACCTGGTTGATGTCTGGGAGAAGACTCAATGCTGTATTCAGAAGAATTTTCAGCCATGTTATGTAATGTTGTTTTTCCTTTAGGAAAAGAAAAAAGGATTGGAAAAAATGAAAACAAAAGGTTTCTTCCTCAAGGAACTCTCACTTATCCTCTTTGTAGGCAGAAGATCCAGAGTTTATTTAATCCAAAATCCAGTGCTCCTGTTTCAAATAGTAATATAAAATTGCCCTATTCCAAAAGTCCAAGAAAAAGCCAATGACTTAACTGATTAATCATTGCAGAAAGTCAAGGCCTATTGCTTGAGTTCACTTCTTGTCTTTCATTTCTTTAGAAGACACAAACCCTCTGTCTTCCTCTTTTGATAGCTGTATGTCAATACTGAGACAGAGACTTAAAGAGATACCACATGTACCTCTTCAATCTTTGTCCTGCTGACCAAGGACATTCAAACTCAGACATATTCCAGTATCTCTCACTGCATAAAATGGAGCATCTCTCTTCCTAGACCATTAGCTTTTCTTGTTTGTGTGGTGATTCTGGTTGATTCTTCTAGCACAGTTCACATTAAACATGTGCTAGTATTATGTTAAAAACCTCCAATTCTTGCTGAGGCTGCAATCTTTCTCTGTTTTCTTGGTATTTCTCAGCAGTTTATATTCAGCACTGCCTGTCCAGGAAGTCTGATCACAAATCTCTAGGCTTCTTGGCTGCTCACCTTGCACACCTGTCATGTCCCTTAATGACAGCCACACAAGGTCCTTATTTTGCCCCAGGGAAAGTCCCATTCCTGACAGCTGTGACAACTGGAGATGCTTGTCAAAAAAGAGCAACAGTATAGAAAGTCACTCCCCAAGGCCCAAGGCCTTTCTGCTGGAAGGATCTATATGCTCTGAATACGCCCAAACTTTCCTTTCTCCAAGAGAAGACAAGGATTGCTGATCATCAAAACCAGTTTCCATAAATTCATCAACTAGCACCTGCAGCCATTTTTACAGAGTACCTTCCACAAAGCACATCACAGAGAGTGCAAAGCAATCAGCCTGGAATGCCTGAGATGCCTCCCAAAGGCATCGGTACGTTTTAAGAATAGGCCTTGCAGGCTGGGTCTACCCAGACTAGAGTAATGTTCCCTGAAGGTTGCCTCTGGCAGAAGTCATGGTGCAGTAGATTTACCTTGGATTTCTGCTTATAATAGCTGAGACAGGATGTCTTCTTTATTGAAATCTCTTTGTAATTCTCCAGTGACACCTTTTTGGTATTTGAACAATATAGTGCCAAATTCAGTGCTCAGCAACATGTTGATTGTTTCTCAGGCAAAATTTTTACATTTTGTGCATTGTTTCCCAAAGTTCAGCTCATATCCAAGACTTAGTCATAGTATACATTTACCTTATTCTCATTGTCATTCTCCCTGAGGTAATTCAGGTAGTCATATTCAGAGTCATAACATATAAATGCTCATTTCAATCTTGGCCAAAACAAGCTTGTTTTGAGAGCCTTCACAATTTTCTCACAAGGCTGTCAGTACCAACACCTTCGGTTCCTGCTTCGAGTCAAAAAGTAAATGCTACATCTGCTTCATTTTAAAAACATGAATATTTACTAGTTGATACCTAATTGATAGAGATTTCTCATTCACAAGTGTAGGAAAACTCAAAAAACAGCACAAAAGATGTTACAACATCCATTTTTATTCACAGTGGAGAAATTTACTAATCTGGTTGCATCAGCAAAATCACGTCTCCATTGCTGCTCAAAACACAACATATTGAACTATTTTCTGCAATGGTCTGGTCCTATACAAGTATATTAGACTGTTGGAAGAGTCATTTGGCTGCCATGACCATATTTTTCCACTTTCATATAGTCTATCCCATAACAGAGTTTCCCCTTAGTAAGTCTTAAATCTGCTTTTATCTGAGTTGATGGATGTGCCATTTTAACCTATAAATATATGTTCCTTCTCAGCAATTACTTCAGCTAAATGGATGAATGAGCTCCATGACATAGCAGACTACCTATGCATTATTTATAAGGAGGATATCTTCACAGAACTACATCCAAGGTTCTTCTTAAAATAGTCCACAAGTTTCATACTAAGAAAACCTCTTAATTTATCTGTGTTCTTTCCAGAGCTCTGTGCAGGAAAAATATAATGGCATTTCAGGTAAAAAATCAATGCTGTTCTATCTGAAGAGTCAATGGAGCAGAATCATATAGAGACACTCAACTGGAAACACTGAGCACTAGCACATGGCTAAATAACGTATGACCCAAGAGAACAGACTAGTCTTCCACAAAAATTCAAAATGTCAAATTCTCCTGGGAAAAGGGCTCTTTTTTCTACAGTATGTACATCCTAGTCCTGAAGTAGGTACTTCCATTTAGTCAGCTCAAGAGATTTAATTCTTCACTAGCTCTGTTGACTTGTTCTCACAGCTTGGTTCATATCCCTGACCGTAGAGATTTGGTCCATTTGAGCTTTAACAGCAGTTCAGCTAGGAATGCTTTTGTGTTATAAAATCTTAACAGGCATCTCAGATATCCCAGAACATCCCAAACAGCTGTAGATGCTGATGAGAGAGAAACAGAAGAAAGCTTTTGATCTCCCCTATCTTAGATGTATAGCCTAAATGTAGACGCATACACAATGACAACTAAATTTATCTTTCTTAATTTCAAATGGAATCTATTCTTTAAATTCTGATGAAATTGACTGCACCAATTATATATAAAATACACTTTTTTAGGGAGTGGGTTTATGCTACCAATTCACAGCATGTGTAATGAAATACCTGAGTATTTTTCCAGAAATTGTTCAATACCTCTGAGTAGCATTGTAAAGAAAGTATTTCATGTGCTTCTTCTTGGGAAGCATTTGTAAATATCAGTTATCATCTTTACATTTTGTGTTCTGTCATTTAATAACAGGATGCAAATTTTAAAATGTCTCTTTTGCACTCAAAATTCAGTTACTGAATATTGTATCCTTACTGCATTTCCGTTAGGTCATTTAAAAAGCAAGTTGTTTCTTTTTCTGTCATGTAAATATTACTGTCTAGTTTCCATCTCTATTATTGTCTGACTGTATGTAAATTTGTTTGTATAAAACCACTTGCTGAAACTATTTGTATGAAGAGAAATGCCACAAAGTCTCTGATGGGTTTTTTTCAGTACATCATAAGAAAGATGTAATATAAATTATGTAGACTTGTAGTTGCACCACATAGCCGTACAAGTAGCTTAACAATCACACACTGGGACTTTTAAGGAGACATTCCCTCACTTTCCTTTCTTCTGAGAATCTAGTTGTATGTTTTGTATAATTGTCACTTGCTTTATAGGCAAATACTAAATGCTTAATTGAGTAAATGGGATTTTATAGATATCTAAATAAATAATTATGTTTTCAGTGCATAACTTATCTCGAGTCAGAAGAAACTTAAGTAAACTTTTGTAAGTATAATTCATGCTCTTAGCATATAGATTCACCCTTTAAATTATACTGTATCCTACACAATCATGTACAAATCTTGAATATTAATCTTAGTTGAATTTTCTTTACAAAGGAAAAATAAGATTCTTTCCTGACAAAAGGTTTAGAGTTATACAAGCTAAAATCAATTTTCTTGGTTGATTGAATTAATTCGTTGTCCAATAGTCCTCAGAACTAGGGAGGCTTGAAACTCTTAAACAGATATTCTCAAACCAGACCAAACAGTATTCTATTCATAAATTAAAAATCCCAATGGCCATATAACAGCTGACTTACTGAACTTTGAGCCAAAGCAGACCTGATGACTGGACATATATTTAGTAGTAATCAGCTTCTTTCAGCAAATTTTGAATCATTTGGGGTCTCAAAATTAATATCAGGAAACCTGAGGATACAGAGAGGCAATTTAATGTACCCTGAAAGAAACAGAAGTTGCACCATGGACTTGGGTCACTCTTCCACGGGGTGCAGTCCTGCAGGCACAGCCTGCTCCAGTGTGGGTCCCTTCACAGGCTCACAAGTCCTGCCAGCAAACCTGCTCCAGAGTGGGCTCCTCTCTCCACGGGTCTGCAGGACCCTGCTCCAGCACAGGCCTCCCACGGGGTCACAGCCTCCTCCCAGGAACCCACCTGCCCTGGTGTGGGTGTCCTCCATGGGCTGAGGGTGGATCTCTGTATCCCCAGGGACCTCCACGGACTGCAGGGACACAGCTGCCTCACCATGGGCTGCACCAGGGGCTGCAGGGAATCTCAGCTCTGGCACCTGCAGCACCTCCTGCCCCTCCTTCTGCACTGACCTTGGTGTCCGCAGAGTTCTTCCTCTCACCCTGCTCTTCTCTGGCCACAATTTTATCTGCACAGTTACTTTCTTTCCCTCCTTGACGATGTAATCACAGAGGCATTGCTGTCATTTCTGGCAGGCCCAGCCTTGGCCAGCAGAGCTGTCCTGGAGCCGGCTGCCGCTGGCTCTGCCGGACACGGGGGAAGCTGCTGGCACCTTCTCACAGAAACCACCCCTGTAGTGCCCCCACTACCAAAACCTGGCCACAGAAACCAACATAGTCAACCGTACAAAAAGGAGTCATTTGGTCCTACAACCAAAACACAGCATTTATAGAGTTATCACCCCCACAAAGCTCATTCAAACAGTCTGTGTATGGCATTACGGTTTTGTATAATATATCTTATGAGAAATTCTGACATTCAATTCTTTTTCTTTTGAATGGGGGAAAATGTTGAAACAGTCACAAAAACAGGAGGGTGATTCTAAAACTGAAAAATTTGGTGTGACGGCAAACACTAGGATGCTACTTCATGAGAGCACTTCAAAATTTTAACTCAGTGGATTTTCTACCTCTTTACGGATGTTCAACTTGTGTGAAAATGCCTCTGGGAAATATGCTTGATATCCAGTAGTCAAAAGTGTCCTCTGTGTCCTTTAGTACCCACCAGATACACAACACTGAAACTTTTTTCCAGATGGAAGTATATGAAAAGTTTAATAACTGGAAGCATTATTTTCTATACCCAGAAAACAAACACACTAGCAGAAAATAATTATCTCTGTTGCCCAGTCAGTCTGCCTCACCCTTCTAGGGAGAGATTGGTAGGGAATAAGAAAGTTATCCAAGTTACAAAACTATTTCATCATTGACCTTTTCTCTAAGACTACAAATAAGATTGCAGGGTACAAAGAGCTGTAGGTAGGGATTATGGATGACCTGTGATTCTGGGTAAATACTGCATTTTAACAAAACTGAAAACAGCTATCAACTGTGTCCTGCCACAAAGGACATCCTTTTGTTTATTTTTCTTCCTGGAAAGACAGCAATTAAGATGCTTTCAGATGTTAATTTCTCATAATAATCACCTTCTTAAATTAAGGGGGTTTTAAGGTCCCTATATGTTTCCATACCCTCACCAAGTGATTAATAATGCTAAATTATTAACCTGAGTTTTAATGCAGGCCAAGCACTCGATTCAGTATTATAAAAATGTCAATCAAATCTTGTTTCAAGAATACAGAAAGAGAATGAAGAGGCTACAAAATATCAGCTTTCCATTTTTTATGATTCTCATTTAACGAACATATAACCAAGAATGTCTTTTTTCAGGTTTTCCAAGGATGTGGCCAACCTAAACCAGCACCTGCCCTGAGATCTTCCCGTTCTGTCCCTGACAACTTCAATACCCGGTTTAGACCATATATCCCAGAGGAGAGACCTACAACTGCTGCTGGCACAAGTTTGGATAGGCTGGTAAGGCAAAACATATTCTAGTTTCAGATTAGTACAAAAGGCTTGTCTATATACTAGAAAGTGGTCATCTCCTGATTTAATAATTATATAATCACTCTTATAGTTTCTTTGCCAGCTGTTCCAGCATTCAGTAAAGCTTTTTTTCTTCACTGGAAATGGTATAGAATTTCATTGTAGGAGAGCAGTATGGCTCAGTTTTTATGTATTAGGCTTGTTAGAAGAGAATAAATTCTTTCCTACAGGTCAGAAGCCACATAAGCCTTTGCAGGTACTTTGCAGTATAAATTATGCATCAAAAGTGGTCTACAGCAATATTTTGTATTTTTTTTATTTTATAAAAAAGTTATGTATTAACACCATTTTTATCACCTAGTTCTTTAACTGACACACTTTCAAAGGCACCTCAATTTGTTTCACTTCTTTACTTAATTATAAAATTGCCACTGCTTTATTTCCATCCATCTTAACAATTTACTTTAATCAGCTAAAACTTCAGTGATCGTTAATCTTGCTTTACTTATTCAATCATTTTGGGAAAAAAATACTTTAACATAAGATTATTTTCTTTACTACCAATCATTGGATTCACATTTCATACTTCAATGTTCCTGCTATTTATACATCTATAGATTTGTAGAGGGATAATTACTACAGCTGTACCATCCCAGCAATCATCTGTAGGTAAAACCAATGAGCAAAACTGAAGAGCTTCTGATTTTAAAAAGGCTGTATCACAGCTAATTGCTGCACACTTGCAGAGCACTGGTCTGTCTTGCCAAAGAGAGTACCCAAATATACCAATGCAGATGAGGACCCAGGTATCTTCTTGACGCCATCATTCGTCAAATTCATGGGATGTCACAGTAGCTTTTCACAGTGCCAAGTCTTTCCAATCACTCCTGTCTATGTTGTACTCTATGTACTCTATTCTGTCAATTTTCATGGCAACCCAATAGGAAAATAACATGGCATTTCTAGTCAAGTCATGGGATTACCCTGCAGCAAAAAGAAACATTTGTTAGTTCTCCACTCTTCTGGAAATATTGTAGCCTGGTTATCCTGAAAGGAGAAGCAGAGAAGATGCTTACCTCCATTGTAGGTCAAACCACAGCAGGATCATAGTGCAGTGCAACATCTCTGAGTAGCGATACTCAATCTGCATTTGATGGGATCATAATTTTACCCTTTCACTTTATACTCAGAGAACTAGTCCTTCTGCACTGCTCGGAGCAGAGGCTTGGATCTTAATGTAGAATTGGCCAATGTGAAGTGAAAGGTCACCAAAGCCTTTAGGTTTCCGTCATGCTTTGTCAAATCTGAAAGTTGCAAACAGCTGAAATGGGAGGAAGAGCATAAAAAGGAAGGGGCTGGAAGCATGGCTCAGCTTGGATTAGTTTGATGATGCAAGAACAGTTCAAGCATTTTTGTAATGAAAAAGGAAGGTTTAAGATGCATTACATATTGACATAAGAAAGATACTTCTGAACACAAAATACTAACTTGCAAAATAATACTGAACAGCACACTGAATAAAGCAGAGATGTGTCCTATACTGCTAGCCTGTAAAGGCTGAAACTAATGAATGTTGCCAATACAGATAATTCTTTATGACTTCTAGAGTTTGAAAGGGGAACTTATCTCCATATGATTTAACTAGTCTTGTTCATGCAGTATTTCAGGAAAAAAACCAAGGAGTTTAGTATTGCCGCTGTTCATTTAAAAAATGTTCAAATCAAATTCCTATTTCCTGTTCTTGCTGATGGCATCTAAAATAATTACTATTTATGGTCTGTTAATGATGAGTTTTGGTAGTAAATCCATCTTCAAATGGCAGTGATGAATGTGTTGTCTCCTTCTGGGCTGGGACCAGCCATCTCTCAATTCAGAGATGGCTGCTGATCTCAGTGGAGCTAGGAAAGGTAGTTTATTTGGATTAGAGCAGACGGCCTTATTTCAGAGCTGTAATCCCTTAGCAGCTCTTGGGAAAGGTCACTGCCAGCATCTCACACCATCTTAGGTAATTTTATCCAGAAGGATATAAATGCTACACTCCTGCGTCACACAAACACCATTTAACCTGTGTTGGAACCTCAGCTTTCCATGTGCTGAATCATTCCCTGAATGACATCTCTCTTCATGAACTGTAGCCAGAGCTTGGAAGACCAGCTTCATTTGGATACTCTTAACCCTTGCATTGTTAACAGGGTGTAACACGCACAGCAGTCTTCTTGTCTACACACTGATCATTTTCTGTTGCTTACTTCATATAAATACACTGCAATACTAGTATTTTGTTGGTATTTTCAAACACTCGAGACCATTTTGATTATTATGGATATAAGAATAGTCTTTTCTTGTGATTCAGAAGACTGTTCAGTGTTACATTAATGCTTTTAGAAGTCTATTCTTGAGTGTGTAGTCATGAAACACTGTCAGACCACTTGACTTTAAACTGTCACCACAAAGTCCAAGCACACATTACAAAAACCTCAAAAGAAGTGACAAACTATTCTGCTTTTATCTGTCTTTGACAGCAGAAGACACCAAGTTTAGAAAATATTTCCTCTGCATCTCAGTGTTATACAAACATGCAGCATATCTGAACTGAATTCTGTTTTAGTCCTGCTGCTATCCGCACTTATAAACTTAATTCAGTTGGGCATATTTTATCAAGTATGTTGCACAAAGCTCTCATAAGAAGTCTGTGCTGAAACCACCAGGTACTGAGCACATCTGAGAAAGTGCTCCTTCATCCTTGCCTGAGCTCATGCTATTAATCCAGATATTCCACTTCAAAAGGAGGGAAAGTGATTTCTCTGTGTTATTGTCATAGCTGTAACAAGTAAGGCTTAACAAATAAGAAATAGATCAAAATTACTTCTAAGAAATGTGGAAAAATCTAAATATCCCCCAAAAGCATATGGGGTTTTAAAGCATCTGATGTGGAAGCTATGTGGATCTTGAGAGACTTGTCTAAGCATGGATGAAAAGCACCATCTGAGACATGCTAGAGTATCTGAAATATGGGACCAGCAGAGGTCTCAAGGAGTCCAGTACACTTCTGGAGCAGCAGAGGGGAGATGGCTTGAATATACTACAGAAGCTCAAACAATTCAAGACACTCATGCTCAGACAATTCAATGACATCTTCACAGCACTGGGCCTAAAAGTAAGGCTCTTTCTGAAGCCAATGGAGAGAGACACATCTTTGGAGAGTAATTCACCCCATCTGTCAAGCACTGGGCCTAAAAGTCAGGCTCTTTCTGAAGCCAATGGAGAGAGACACATATCTTTGGAGAGTGATTCACCCACACATCTCTCAAAGAGAGGGAAATAAAACACTCAATTGGAACATCCACATGTAGATAGACAAGACTGAAATGCCTTGGAGTATTTAAGTCATCTAACTGAGCTGGAAGATAGAAAACTAATTTAAGATGCATATGCTCCCCTGGACTGGCATCTGAAGTCTGGATAGAACACCTTAGAGGATGTTCACTGTGAGGCATCCAAGTGGGAGAACAGAACTGAGCCCCAGCTGTTCTCTGCAAGTTGCACCATGTGAAATTCAGCTGCATAGTCACCTAATGCTCTTTGAGATAATCCAAGTGGGAGAACAGAACTGAGCCCCAGCTGTTCTCTGCAAGTTGCACCTTGTGAAATTCAGCTGCATAAATATAGTCACCTAATGCTCTTTGAGATGCCTGTGCTTTTCAAGATGTCCAAAGGTGAAAGCAAGGTTACAAGAGACCTGGTTGGAAGTTAAATGGAATATCTCAGAGGTGCTAAATTGACTTGCTCTGCCTACCATTCAATAACTGTATTCCACCTCATACTGACTGCAACAGTAGAAAAATGAGGACTTTTCTGATTCAGTGTAGAAATCTATAGTGCAGATACCTAGAACCAGCTACCTTGATTTGAGTCCAGATGACTGTCATTTTTACTGTTAACAGAGAGAAATAAAGGCCTTAGCTCAGTTATCTAAGCATGGGTTTAGGCAACTGATTTGAGATCACATATTTCTAAAGAACAATTCATCTCATCCTAAAGTGTACATTTGAACAGCTCAGAGAAATATTTCCTTACCCCTCTACTACAAAGTGCCCAAAAGTGAAAATCTTAGTCCAAGAATCTAGCAAGTACTCCTGAAGATCCGTACATTTTAAAAAATGGTCAAAAATTAAATAGTTTTAACACCTGCTTCTGTAGAGCATGATCTAAAGTTTCTCATTTAAAATCAACTGCTTATAAAGACTCGTTATCTTCTCTGTGGTTGCCTGTTTGGTATAACCTGTGGTTTATTTTGTTTTGTTTTGTTTTGTTTTTCTGTTCCCTGAATCTGTTTCCCTCTTGCTTCCCAGAGGACTATCTGGAGGACAATGCAACATGGTGTAAGCTTTGGTATTCTTATTCTTCACTTCATTCCCATTTGTCTTTGTACAATGATGGACAAAACACTCATTTAAGTTTCATCTTCACCATCTTTACTTTGTGTGTGTGTGTCTTGTAGGCTAAAATATTAGCAGTTCTTTCTGTAATTTTGCATTCTAATTTCATTTTGCCATGTGCCCAGAGCTGCTGCTGCCTTCCAGTATTTTTCTCTCAGCTCAAGGATGATGCCTCATACCCAGAAAGGAGCTATGTATTCCTCCAGTGCACTAGAAACTGGTGTAAGCATCCCCATAGACTCACACCCCACAAGGGCATGTAGTGCAATGCAGGCACTGCAGTAGCATTCAGCTCTGAGTCCTGTGCCTGGAGCAATGGAAATGAGCTCCCAAGCCTTCCTGGGCTCTCTCCCTAAAAACGCCCCTGTCTTTCTGGCCAATCTCCTTATGCTTTACAGCTTCATAAGTTTTTGTGGCTGTTAGAGGTCCCTGGTTCCAGGCAGAAAAGCTTTCCTCAGCAGAGCTCATTCAGCACAGCCCAAGGGGAAGGCGCAGATTTGCATTTAGCCTGGACTTAATAGTCCAGCTCCTTAGCAGGACTAATTAGTCTACAGAGAGCACCATGCTGATACAGCCATGCTGCTTCCTGTGTTTGAGCTGCCCCAAGTACCTCTGTATCCACCACATCACTGTACAGCAGTGCTGTCTTAATTCAGCTGGAATTTCTCCTGAGAACATACTGCAGCCTGACCTGGCTGGACGTGTATAAAATAATTCCACATTTTCTTTCAGGAGGACACGGAAGTTTTCTTGATTTTTCACCAGGGAGCTGATGCACTATTAAACATATAATACATAATGCACATGCATACTATGGAGACGGGCAACTAAGAAATTTGCCGTGGCATTCATGGGTGATTTGCATTCAAACACAGTACAGTGGCTGCATAGATTAGTGGATGAGCATGCACCCCATCTGAGAAATAACACCTTTTATGCTCTTTACCCCAGGGAGGGGAATATACTGTGTCACACTTTGTGGGAAAATGTGCTTTTAGAGTCCCTTCTGATTTCCTTAAAGTAAAAGCAGATAAAGCAATTTCCATGAGGAAGATACCCTGAACTACCCTTTTTAAGAATTAATTCCAATGTACTTTAAGTCTCTTTTTAACTTTTTTATTCCACTCTGCTATGGTTTCTGTTACAGTGAAGAAATGTGATGGTAATATAACAATCAGTTGTGCGCAACTTTTTGCCACTGCTACAAAGCTACATGAAATAGAAAATATTACTTAAAAATATATAATCTCCTTTGCATTTTAACTATAAAAGACTAAAAGTAACAAGACTGTAGACAAATCAGACATTGATCTGAATTGGCCAGGGAATCATCCAGGGCATTCCTAAAAGTGAAGTTTTCATTTCAGGTTTGTTAGACTGTTTGGTCCACAGTCTTGAACTGCTAAATATATGCCATGATAGCACAATTTTCCTGGGATATAATGTTTAGCCTCAAGACTTTTTTCCTCAAGAGACCCTAGAATAAAATCCAAAAGGTATAATTCTTAAAGGGCTTAAAGTTCTGAGATTAATTTTCCAAGTATCTTCTGCATACTGAGGCCATGGGATAAGGTACAAACAATGAACCTGAACAATTCATCATAATTCTGAAGTTTTGGGCCACACTCTGAAGGCTGAAGATGACAGGCTTGCACAAGTGTTTTAGAAGCCTCCTGGCTTCCCACAGGCTACTACCCCAAAACCCTTAGATGTTTGCTGTTGGATTTGATAACCCTGTGTGATGCTAATCAGCAGATGATTCCTGAAATATACAGCTCCTTCTGTTTTACACTTTGCATGTTTAGACAGAGTCCTGTTTCTTATTAGCTGTTTGGATACAGTACGCAAAATGAATGAATATGTTTTACCACATTTGTTGTGGTCATTTGAATTTAGGCTTTGGTTGGTTCTCCAAAATAAGTGTTTGCTTAGAATCAAGTTTTGTTTAGTCTCAGTTTCTGTCTCTCTGCAATATCTGAGTTTAAGTCTGTGCAATCATTTTTTCCCTCATGGTTAATACCAGTTCCAGGTGGCAAAGGTGGATGAATGATGGTGGCTGTCAGAACCCTCCTGGGAGACCTGACAGAGTCCTGTTTTTAAAAATGGTGATATTATTCCATCCCCCAGGTGAATGGTTGTGCATGCTGCTGTATCCGACGCATTGCGTTCCGAACGTGCGTGAGGTGGTTGCTAAGACAGAGCTTTGTTACAGTGGTTGCCTCTGTCTTCAGGTGGAATGGGTCTGCCTGCTGCTCAGACCCTGACTAGCACGGGCAAGGAAAGGCCATTTCCCAACAGTGGCAGGAGCCACAGATATCTATGTTAATTAGTTATCAAAGAAAATGCACAAATCTTGACTGCCATGTAGTTTCTACCTTGCCTGAAGAGTGATGTCTCATGGAACACAGTGACTGCATGATCATCTTCTAAAATGGACTTTTTTATACTAGTTGAACTTCCTTTACCTAATAGGTGTGAAGACCCTTTGGGAGTCATCTTCTCATTTCCAGGAAAGTCATAGGGGTGTGAATGGTACTATGGATCACCATTAGAAAGGTAGGGAATAAAAAAAACCTGCAGATAGAATCCTCTCCTAATCACCAGACTTTCAGCAAACAGTAAAATGAAGAAAATACACATTTATGGATCTTCACTTGGTGTACATTAAAAAATTATGTGATTGCTGAATTTGGCTGTTAGGATAAAGAAAAGCAAAATATCTAGGCTAAAGTTTGCCTATCTGTGCCCTATCAAACCAGATAAACATGAAGTGGGATTTATTTGTCCTAGCTTTTCATGTTTCTAGTGTTACAATTGAAGTCTGAGCAATCACTTCATTCCTTTACTAATAGACATAGCACCTCCAGAGCTTGCTTAAAATACTCATTTAGAGAAGACAAGAATCTGAATTACCCTCTTCTCCCCACTGAGGATGAAGAGAATCTGGATGATTAACTCAGAGATCCAGTTTGTAGATGTCTAAATGTAACCATAACCCTTGGGTTGGAGCTAGGCTCTATGGATCAGATGTGCACAAAGGAGATTTTGGTCTATAAGATATATCGACACATAGTTCATATCATACTGCTAATCATACTCATTGCCATGGTATCAACAGGTACCTAGAAGGATAGCTAGATTCAAATGAAAATGGTTAATTTGAAGGCTGCACAACTTCTATTCAATGGAAATTTCACCTTGTAAATCTGGATTAATACACAATGCTTCTATAATGCAAAGCTGCATATAAACAGCAAATCTTGGGTGGATAGTTACAGATGTTTGATGGGAAAGCCAAGATAATTAATAATATTGGGGAAGGGAAAAGCATGGGTTCACCACATCAAATTGTATCTATCATTAACAGAGGACAAGCCTAAGACTGTGCATCTCTGAGCAAAACCAACATCATTTTCTGGATCTTAGGTCTGGGTGTAGACCCTAGCAACCTCAGAGGTCCACATGAGGGCAAAATAAGTAGGTAGCATATTATCAATTCAGATACTTGGAAAATGGCAGATTACCTGCAATACACTTCAACAGATCCCATTCTGGACACTGCCAAGTACTGAGGTACACAGTAACAGAAAACTCTTCCTACAGGATTAGGAATGAGGAGGATGGACTCCTTGCACAGCTGGTTAAGAAAACAGGCATTTTCAGAGGGTAACTCCCAGTCTAATGTAGACATCTGCCAGAGATTACATTTATAGCTCTGTGGAAGCGCCAATGTTCCTCTGTCAGCTATGAAGAACTTTATGCTTGACAAGATATTTAGGTTATAGAGGGCTAGAGCTGAGTTAATCTAACTCCTTCTGAACAGTCAATACCTAACTTCTCCTCAAACAGGCCTACCAAAGTGAAAGTGACTAAGACTACTAGAATTAAGGACTCAGATGTGGTCAACTGGGGACTCAGTAGAAGCTCACAATTTCACCCTGTTCCAGTGGCTTTGTGATCTGGTGGCAGCAATCATAAATTACCATCGTGTACATGTCTTTTTGGTTTTCTTGGGTCTTGCTGCTTCTGTAATGAATGTATGTCATGTAAATGTTATTTCTGGTACAAAAGAAATGGAATTCACTCTGCCTGATTCAGTGTCTCTAATACAGGTGCTCTGTGGAGCTGGATTTATTAATCTTCCATGGTAGCAGTGGAGAGCTAGTCAAGGGGGTCAATAACAGGCAGAAACAATTGGCTGAAACACAAGTGTCATGACAAGTGACATGCCCTGAACTATCTAGGCATCTGCAAAGAGCTGAGAGATGTGATAAAGGCCTTACAGAAGTTCTTCCATCTTCTGGATGTTCTAGAGGAGTCCAACATGGCATTTCATTCATTTGTATCTATATTGAATGAGGGAGATGGGAACTACTCATAAGATCTTGAATTAGGCCAAAATGAGACAGCTGGCAACTTGAATAACTGCCTAGATGCCACTGACTAAGAAGTCACAGCCTTTTCAGAGAAAAACTTCACCTGAGGGTCTCAGGAATGGTGTAGGTCCTATTTGACATCTGTTCTGGAAGAGAGGGAAGGTTTCCAAAGTGGATATCTCTCTGCAGGCAGCTGAATCTCACTCCAGGTCTCCACCATCTGTGGTGGGTTCATGACACCCAGCTGACATGCCAATACACGCACTGATAAAGTTAAACTCAGGCAAGACTAATGCACTGCCAGATCCTGATGGACAGCTGCCATTGCTGCTCATTTGTATGGGAGCAAACCACACTGCTGATATTCAACCAGCTCTTAACAGTCCCTAGGATAATTGCCTTTGCTTTAAAGTGCTGAGACTTTTCCTTTCCTATTATATATTTGGACAGCCTAAATACTGTGTAGGAACACAGATGAAAACAGACCAGAATAAAAGTTGTTTTTTCTCTTGAAGCATTCAAGGCCATAAAAATATCCAGTACATAATAACAACTGTGTTATCTAAG